TACCAAATACATAATTCTAAGAGATTCAAAAGTAATTGTTTATATATTTGTTCTTCCGTGGTCCAATAGCGTGTCTTTTGAAATTGAATTTGAAATTGAAACTTTGTTACCAGTTTGTTACCACTTCGCGGAAGTTTTGTGTCGCGTGCCGCCAATGAACGTAAGCAGTGCAGCGATTAGCTTATTTACGAATTCATTCACTGATTAATTTGTGAATTCTTAAAAAAACCTCCATCTGTTGTGACGTTTTCATTTATGTATTCATGAATAACAAAACATTCGCACAACGGAATTTAGTCGAATTTTACTTCTGCTCTATTAATAATATAGGTATTTCACTGTTAACAAAAATAGTGTCTCGAATGATCATTCCGTGCATTATAACACTCCGCGTGTTTTGCCGCTTTATGTAATATACGTATTTCACTGTTAACAAAAATGGTGTCAAATGATCATTCGGTGCATTATAACACTCCGCTTTTTGTAATTCGGGCATCACTTCACGGAGGGTGATAGAGCATTATGCAGAAACCAGGATAAAGCTTGGAAATGGAAAAAGGGTATCTTATTTCACCAACTCATCCTATAAATGCCGGTATGTACGTGCAGTGTACACACTCCCAGTATCGTAACTTTATTTGCCGCAGTTGATATAACCACAAACACTGCCGAGCATCGGGTTAACAGGAGGAAAAAATAGATATCTTTCCCCGACTCGGATTTATACATTAGACCCACGATATAGAGTCGGATGCAGACCGGATAACCGTCGTACCCCGGACAGTCGTATCCGGACTTTAACTCGGTTACACTGAAACCGGATAATCCTGGCGGATAAACTCTGTTGTACGGTTTTTAAAGCTTGTTTATATATTTGTTTGTATGATTGTGGTGTAAGCTACAAGCGAATCTAGATGTCGGTGTCAAAGCATGAATCTATAGTTATAACTTATTTTAAGTTTGAATCAGAATTTTTAAAAGATATACACCCGGAATCGAAATCGGCCTCCTTCTCTTCACTGTATTCATTTAGAAATAATGATTTTTTATTTAGAAATTATTAGTTAAGAATACCTACTCTAAAGCACGTTTCAAGCAAATCAATGATAGTTAACAATTTAAAACAAGTCGTCTACATTTTGCACCATACAACAATTCTATGTATTCCAAGCGACAGAAAATATAAATCTTTTCACGGCTACATTTTGCGAGAGAAGTCCTTAAAGTATCCGAGTACAACGCGCTACTTAAACTTTTCGGTTTCCACTTAATGACTTCTAAAAGTTGAAGTGCCAATTATTATTTGGATTTCCTTTCTCGGAATGTTTTATTGTAATTACTTCCAGTTAATAAAAAAATCGAAATGGTCATTCGAAGAAGACTAGACAATAAGTTGAAACAAAATATTAAGCTTTTGTGACATTCTTTGTGATAATAACTTGGCTTTACGAAGCTTTATATCCTGATAAGCAAATCTACGCCCTAACATTCTCCAAGAGACTTGTTAGAAGGAAGACAGCTACATAAAATCGTGGGTTAAATGTTTTTTTTTATCTCCATTCTAAATAGGCGAGTTTACGATCTTAAGCTGAAAGTGAGTGGTTATTATCGCTCTTGGACATCAGTAAGGTCCCTACAGTCAAGCCGCTGTATAGTCCTACTGGTGGAAGGACCTCTTATGAGTCCGCGCGGGTAGGTACCATCACCCTGCCTATTTCTGCCGTGAAGCAGTAATGCGTTCGGTCTGAAGGGTAGGGCAGCCGTTGTAACAATACTGAGATCTTAGAACTTATATCTCAAGGTGGATGGCGCATTTACGTTGTAGATGTCTATGGGCTCCAATAACCACTTAAAACCAGGTGGGCTGTGAGCTCGTCCATCCATCTAAGCAATGCCCTGCTTACATCTACCGAGAAGCAGTTACTCATTCCGGTTTTTCTTCAAACTTTTTACTATGCAACTAAGACTTAGGCCTCATATCTCAAGGTGCCACGCGACACCAGATGACGCGTGAACTCGTACGCCGCCCATACATGGCAATAAAAAAAAAACATGACTGGCCTCCATCATGTCTATCTCTACCGCGAAGCCATAATTTGTTCCAATTTGATGGCTCAGACAGTCACCATACTAAAACGGATAACACTCACATGTTAAGCTCTAGTAACCCAGTAACGTCAGATACGCTGTAAGCATTATTAATTCTCCCCTGTCGGTCACTGATCCCATCGCTCAAGTCGCTATATGCCAGCACACAATGGGCCGTAACTAACTTATATATTTAATTGCTAAGCTTACTGACTTTATTTTATTACTTGATATTATTATTTGTGCGAGATGGAAGTCAGCTATGAACTATTTATTACTTCCTGTCCCAAGACCGACCCATATGTTTACCGGACATCTGCATCTTCCATTCAACCTCCCACGAGTACTACAAAACTAGATCTTGTTCGGTTTTATGGCTCACACAACATTAATCAATCCAGAGTATATTGTGGCCAAATTGATTCACCAGCTTTGTCATGCCACAAAACATGATTTTCAATCGATAATAGTAATTGGGGTGAAGCACTTCGTACACCGCTACCTGCTGAATATTTATGGGGAAGTCAATAGCCTGTGCGACGGAGAATAACTTTTCAATGTGGAAACGACGTGACAAAGCAACCTAGGGCTGTCTGAGACTGAACATGTATTATAAAAACCTCAATTTCAGCACGGGCCTGATTTCAAAATTAGATTTTTGGCACAATGTTTTTTTTATTTTTTATTGCTTAGATGGGCGGACAAGCTCACAGCCCACCCGGTGTTAAGTGGTTACTGGGGCCCATAGAAATCTACAACATAAATGCGCCACCCATCTTGAGATATAAGTTCTAAGGTCTCAAGTATAGTTACAAAACCACAAAAAAGACCTTTGCGCTTATCCAGGCTTATTCATAATTCCAAACTGATGACCAAAGAAAATCAGACCTTCTATACGGCAACAAGCATCTTTGTAATAGTAACAGTTTGTTAGGTTCTCGTTCGTCTTGGACATAATTTAAATAAAATTACATTTCGTACTAGTTGCGACCACGAAGACTGTATTCAAAACTTTGAGCATAATATCCCTCTGATTCCTACAAGTTATCTACAGCCCGCAGAGGTGTAGATAACTTGGAACGTCTGATGGTCACTGGAAAAGTAGAAGGAAAACGTCCTAGAGGCCGGAGCCCCAAACGTTGGTCCGACCAGATCTCCGAGCAAACCAGCGGACCACTTGGCGCTGCACTACACCAGGCAACTGACCGGAACCGATGGAGGCTGGCAGTCGACAAGCTGAAACTTGGTCTCGTTCCTAAGTAGTGAGGGAGCGATGGAGAAGAAGAAGAAGATTCCTAACTTGGGGATTAGGTATATTGTAAAGCCAGTGCAGTCCAGAATTCCCTGCAGTCCAGTACTCTTCCTATTTCTGACAGGCAAGTAACTCTACAATATATTTGAAAGTATAGGACGGACTTTATTTGAACGCGATAAAAATAACCAGATGGTTCCCACGTTAGATAGTCTGCGGTAGCTTTTACAGTATGATCTCTGTCAGTTGTCGTTTGTACACTAACAACAAAATTTTTAAATCGAAAATATTTCAGCTTCTAATGTCTTGATATAGTTTCCACCAGCCTCACAGCCCTACAGTCACCTGAGACGTGACACGAAAAGTCACTCGCGGGTGGCGGTGATTTACCCTTGACGCTGCGTTACACTGATCTTTTTATCTCATTCCAACCCTGAAATAATGGATTTACATCGACTTTTCTTGTGTACTTCGATTTCTTGTGTATTTTATTAAACATTATTGAAACGAAAGAATTTTGTGTATTTCATACGCATTTTGCAACTGTTACCTACATTGTGTAACGTACGTCGTTAAAACAGATTAATAACAATAAAATCAATAAATAATAAATAAATATTTTTATTGTTGCTGATGGGTAGACAAGCTCTAAGCCCATCTGCATCATAGGATGTGGTGTTTATTTATGATTGGACATTGGACATATGGACATTATGATTAGTAATGCTGAATAACTGAAATTCGATCATAGTCTCTGATACCGTAAGATTTATTCTATGTATTATATTTTTTCTTGTGTTTTAATAATAAATAAATTAATAATAAATTTTTAATAAATATTTACTAACAATCACGCCACGTTAACTGGTCCCGTGATAAGTTCGTAAAGAACTTGTGTTACAGGTACCAGATAACGGAAATAAATGTAAGATTTTTATTATACACATACATATATTTAATAGACATCCATAACCCTGGAAAAGACATTTATATTTATCATACAAATATCTTCCCTTGGCGGGATTCGAACCCGCGACCCCCTTGTGTAGTGACCATGTCACTTACCACTACACCAGACGGCCGTTATTAACATTAAAAAAAAACAATTTGTTCATTTCTTTTTATTGCTCTTATAAGCAGATGAGCATACGGCCCACCTGGTGCTGAGTGATTATCGTCACCCATGGACGTCAGCAATGTCAGGGGCACAGCCAAACCGCTGCCTACCGCATTAAGGTCTTCAATCATCACAGTTAAATCGGTTGACAAACTTTTTTGTCTTTACCAAGTGTTATATAATAAATATACACCGGCTTCGAATGGATTACAAAAGCTGATAGTATGATTTTGTATTCATGATATTGAAAACAATCTGTGTTGTGTATTATAATACGATTATAATAAATATATTTTAAATGTAACTTAATATTAATCTGGAATTTCGTTCAGTGTACTTTACATGTCTACGGACATAATACTCGTTCTAGATTACAATGTTACTAATTGTAAATATGTAATAAATCACATTGACCATTGATATAACACCGAACTGTCAAAAACGTTTTAGTGCAAAAGAATAAACTAAGATTACTCGTCACGTCATTGTATTCTGACAGTTCTTGTTATGACATCTGTCAAACCTTTCAAATATTAGACAAAAATGGAGCCGGACTTAAGTATTTTGGACACTAGAGACACCGAGCCACCAGACATAAATAATTTGACCACCCAGAGCAGCATTTTTAGCGGTGGTGGTTGTGGGGAGCTGTGTCTAGCTCAAAATGTGGTATTCGACTTCACTCCTAATGAAGAAGACAATGCGTATACGATGAACAAATGCTGTGACTTCTGGGAGGCCGTTGGCGGATGTGCTGAGTTGAAAAAGTTGAAGGTTTTGCCGGTAACGACTTCTCTAACTAGTTTACGAGGGCAGACCACCACTAACAAATCATCCATGCCATAGAAACACTAATATTTGCCAAGAAATATAAAAAATACTAGCTGACCCGGCAGACTTCGTAGTGCCTCAATCCATGAATAAGAGACCTAAATTTTTGTATAAAATAAACAAAAGGAATCCGTCCGACGGGGGACACATCAAATGAAAAACAAAATTGTTATTTTTATTTAATTTCGAGCATTTTCATATTTGTCTACCTTTTAAACCTTCTCTGGACTTCCACAAATAATTCAAGACCAAAATTAGCCAAATCGGTCCAGCCGTTCTCGAGTTTTAGCGAGACTAACGAACAGCAATTCATTTTTATATATTATGACCTTGTACCAAACTCGACCCCACGAAAGCTAGTCACTGATTCATTACATTTAACTTTGAATTTATTCATCTCGTCATACAAATGAGTTTGTGCAAAATTTAACTTTAAAGCATAGTCGGGCTTCATGTTTTAAAGCACTCATATGGCTTTTAACGGAACTAAAAGCTATGGACCGTGGGACAGTTGTTTGCTAACTCGTTTACTTGAACAGTTAACTTCCCTTTTGTTTACCTTTCAATATTAATTTTGGTTCGATAACTAACGATATCCGCTAACTAAATTGATTTTGGAAGTTATGTTATAGTTTCTTAATTGATTCTGTATGATTTACGATGAATTTTTGTTTATGTATAGCACAGAGAACTAAACGGTATAAACAAAAGTGGTTGTAATTAATTTAATGTTTTTTTTGGGGTTGCTATTTAACGATCATTAGTGTTGTCAATAAAATGGATTTTGAAAACAATTACCAGTTCTGTGAAATATTAATTTCCTATTTGTTAACTGTGTGTGTACGTTTTTGTCAACTTTCTATACTGTACCATCGCAATTCACTTTTCCTCGCTTCCCTTCAGTATGCTTAGTGCCGTTTGCCACGAGGGGCGCTATTCCAACTGCATACAAATTTCGAGTTAACTTTTACGCTAACGAGAACGTTAAAAAACTCGCACTAAGCACACAGGTTGTTTTGCTTCGAATAGAATTTCCTTCGCGTCGCTGCCACACTATTATAATCGTGTCGATTATGTCTACAATTTTCCAGAAAATTCTCGGTAAACTCGTCTTGTATATGTCAAGAGCATTCACGGGGCCATTAGACAATTCATGGTACAGATAGAACATTCGGCTTTTTAGTTGTTTCAATTAGCCAATTTTGCTATATCGCACATACGATGCGATACCGTCACTTATGCAAATTATGTAATTTTTCAGAAGAAACGTTGGAAAATTCAACATCTTATTATATAATTATTATCTAGTTCTGCTAGGCTATAGAAATAAAATGATAATATTTCAACTACAACTTTAAACTTCATCAGTAAAAGCAAACATCTCTCTCATCTCACTACCTAATAACTATTAAAAAATATATTTTCTCATACTCAGATTAACAAAAATTGCATAAGTGACTTTATAGCACCGTATGTGCGATATGATGACAGATGTCATTACTCGTACCAGCACAAAAACAATAATATTAAAAAAATAAAACACCCAATAAGCTTAGTAGTTCAATTCAGTACCACACTTTAGTTTTAGTTACGAAGGCGGGCGATATCGACACGCTCTAACGCATCGTTTACCTGCGGAGGCCAAATTGTAATAGAGACCAATCATTTTACAGGAAAAACAATCAGTAAACAAGTCGAGAATAAGTCAAGATATTTCGAAACCATTAGTTCACAAAACAGTGAAATCTGAAGTTGAAGGAAGGTCAGCTTTATCTATGCTAGAAATTGTAGAAGGCAAAGGTGAAGTAAACAAAAATATTGATTTGACATATTCTCTATAAAAACAATTTCCAGAACACAGTATTAGCTAAAACATTCCAAGCGTACCCTAAAAGGTAAAACGCCCGGTGTACGCATTATGCGACTCTACAGGGACTTAGATCCTTCACTAAATATAATTTTTTCTATATAAGTAGGCGCATAAAGTACCTATTCAGAAATGACTTCAATGGTGAAGCAATAATATCGAGTGCACAAATCAAATCCACAAATTTTATGAATTACTGTTTGTGAGGCGTACTGTGAACCTGCACAACCGTACAACTGGCCCAAGTGCCACCGCCCTGCCTGCATCAATCGCGAAATAGTTATTCACTTCATCTTAAAGATTGCCACATCGGTTATACAGTACAAAATATGTGACTTCGAGCTAATGGATCAAGATACATTGCGGAATTGACGTTCTAACATCGACAAGCATCGGTAACCACTTAACACTCGACGAACACAAATATGACGAACGCACAGAAACACTACTATTATAATTACACAAGAGTCGAAACAGCAGATGCAAGATTCTTACTGTGTTTCTTCTCAGGTTTGATCAATCGTGTTTTTGAAACTAAAATGCCGCAGTCTTCATGCGCAGTCAGTGATAGAGAATATCTGGATCACTGCATCATTGAACGCAGGCAAAGCTTGAGGCCGATGAAAAAACCTGGTAAAGTGGTTCTGAAATTAACTTCTTTCTATTTTTCCCTTAGTCTCTCCATAAAAGGGATTTGAAAAAAGTTAGTAATAAGCAACAAGTTGGCTGTAGCCTGACATTGCCAACTTGCACTGGCGAGCGGGTCGAAAATCCCTTAAAATAGTAAGGAAGAGCTGCTACAGTTAATAATCTAGGGCAAATTACAAAGGGAACGGGAGAAAGGCGATATCGTGTGAACAGCAGCGCCTGTTCATAGTTTCTACCTGCAGTATCTAAGATTCAAGTCGCCTAAATGATAGCCGACCTTCCCTAAAAGAGTAAATTCGAAAATGAAGATATGCAGTATGCATGTATCTACTGATACATAGTCAGATCAACTATTATCATTCCAATTAGACTTCGTCTTGTCCAACTGAACATTCAATTAAATAATATTGTTACAGCTAGTACAAAGCTAAAAGGAAAGTCTTCTAAAGCTGACACCCTGACGAATTCACCTAAAATAGATAGCGCTGATGAAGTAACCAAGCTAAAGAAGGTCATGTATGAATGGGATGCTAAACATCCAAAGTAAGTGAACATATCATTCCTAAGCAGATTGCGTTTCGTGAATTTCTAACTTTTTTTAACGGGCCGAACCTCATACGCGGTGTCCGTGCCTAGAGGCCACGTGGGGTATTTGGGACTTGACGGTCTACAGATGTTGGGAGCAGACCGAGGGACCAAGGTTATTATAGCCCTACCCACTAAATGACTCCCTTGTACTTTCTGATCCGACATCCGGTCTCCAACCGGGTCAGAACCCGAACAAAGTAGAGGGGTTTGCGCTGTCAAACCTATAACCAAACTCACGGCGACATCCTTAGGACGCCCAACCGATTGGACGAACACTATTAACAAACATAGTATGCTTTACTTTATAATTGTCTAATCATACGATCCATTTGAACAGCTGTGTTTTGAAGGTAGTAGAAAGATAGATAAATCTTACCGCCATTTAATAGTAAGCGGTTACCATTCCTCGTGGACTGTAATAGCTCCAAGGATGTCCATCGCTAGTCTTTTCAAATCTCCATAGAAGAAAGACACGTGCGCGCAGCATGCCATGAACGAGATCGCGCTCATGATTTATTTCAGTAGTTGGGCAGGCAAAACACCTGACTTTAAGTACCGAAGCCCATACATACCACAAGAATTTTTTTTCCCTACCCATACGCTGATAGCCTAAGAGCAAGCTATTCCAGCAACACCCGGACGGTTGGGTGAGCTCACGGGCTTAATCTGATAGAATTTGCTAACACTAGCCCTAGCAAGGGCAGTGCTTCGCAGAATCTACCACCGGATCGGAATCGTGACCCACTGAGAAGATCCGGTGAGAGACTCAGTGGGCTGTGTCTATGGGCTACTTTGTCTAACTCCTTCGTCCGTGACCGGTGTTTGAGAGGCTTAAAAGCAACGAGAGTGAATCCGGGGGATCCGACAAGACATTTTTCGAGCGACGGCGGCTTTGCGTGGTCGGATAAGAGTACACGAACGCTGTGTCAACATAGACAACATTCAGGTTGTGTATCCTACTGAGAAATCAGACTGACTACACATGAAGCATATAGTCAGTCCTGAACTATAAGAACAGCTGTCTGAATATCAGCAATGATTCGCGGCAGAAATTAGTCCGATGCTGGTAGCTACCTGTGCAAGCTCACAATACGCCCTGCCAGTGTCAGATCGTGGATTTGAGTGATTGTACACGTGCCACTGCGTTCCATGCAAGCTTATTATTGCAGTACAAGTGTAGTAAAACTTGAAGTTATCGACAAACTTTTCATGATGTATTTTCAACGATCTATCAGAACCACAGCGATGCTATCAGAACCTTTTCTACTGTTTTATTTAAATTGTGCGTAACAAAGTATTCACAAAGCAAAGTTTACAGGTCGATGGAGCCTCCTGGTCATTCGCCGGCTCTGACCCACTGTGTGCTGCAACGATGAAGCTTGAACACTTTTACCGTTTACCGTATCCCTGCTTAGAGAGTAGTAGATATCGTAATTAGTATTTTTTATTATAAAAGTGAATAAACGTTCTTTATTTAATAAATACCTTAAGACATAATTTAAAAAAAGTTTAACAGATGAAATCATGGCCGGTTTTTATAAGTAATGAATTCTCATATTTGTAACGCTCTGATAGATATTTGAACATGTAAGGTTTCCCGTGATTTGCAAATATTTTTAATTATTGCACAGTTGTGTGGACGAGCTTACAGCCCACCTGGTGTTGAGTGGTTACTGGAGCCCATAGACATCTACGATCTACGAAGTAAATGCCGCCACCCATTTTGAGATATGAGTTCTAAAATCTCAGTATAGTTACAACGGCTGCCCCACCCTTCAAACCGAAACGCATTACTGTTTCTCGGCCGAAATAGGCAGGTTGGTGGTACCTACCCGTGCAGACTCACAAGAGGTCCTACCACCAGTAGTGATAATATTTTCTATTGTAATGGGTGTACGAGCTCACGTTCCATCTGATCGATTATAGGTTACCGAAATCCTTTGAGGTGAATACTGCCACACTCCTCGGGACATGAGCCCGAAGTTTCAACTGTATTATGGTTTTTCTTGAACCGAAACACATGACTGTTTCGCTCTAGAAATATGTAGGATGACAGGATGACCGCACCTACCGACGCGAGCTTACAATACGCACCAGTAAAATGTCTTCTTTTTCTCCACCTTATCCCACTATGTGGGGTCGGCACAGCTAATTTTTCTCTTCCATTCTCTTCTATCAGCCGTCATCTCAACACTCACTCCTCTCTCTCTCATATCGTCATTCACACACTCCATCCATGTCTTCTTCGGTCGACCTCTTCCCCCTCTACCTTGCACTACCATTTCCATACATCTCCTAGTCACATGCATCTTCTCTCTACGCATCACATGTCCGCACGCACCAGTAAAATGTAATTGACCAAAAAGGTAAACGTCATTAATTCTCTCTCTTCACCAACTTGGTTTACTGGCGGTAGGACCTCTTGTGAGTCCGCGCGGGTAGGTACCACCACCCTGCCTATTTGTGTCGTGAAGCAGTAATGCGTTTCGGTTTGAAGGGTGGGGCAGCCGTTGTAACTATATTTGAGACCTTAGAACTTATATCTCAAGGTGGGTGGCGCATTTTTGTTGCAGATGTCTATGGGCTCCAGTAACCACTTAACACCAGGTGGGCTGTGAGTTCGTCCACCCATATAAGCAATAAAAATAAAACCAACTTAACTATGTTACCAAGTCTACAGAGCTTTCCACTGCACGCGTAGGTACTAACTACACCCTCCTTTGTAAAACAGCAACGCACAATCACAACAAAACACAGATTATAACACAATAACCCAGATTGCCCACAGTGAAAATATTTATATGCGATATTGGGCGATATTGCCTCGAACCGGCGCTGCGCTGCGGGCTTAAATTCAATTTGGTGTTGCAATTAGCTTACAAACAGACCTACGTATGGCGCGTGATGGTGGTATTCAATCATTTAAAGTTTCTTATTATTATTGTATGCTATCTAACTTGTAGCGACTTGTACTAATATCATCTCATTGGCCCTGTAGACCGAATGGTAAGCCATCGACGTCGCCCAAAGCACGTCGTTACGGATCCTCCTGATCCATTAACGGTGCTTTTAGGCACCACAAGCACCGGTCACCGTCCTTGTCGAACCCGTTGCTTGCGATGAAGGGCTCGACGAGCGGATTAACCCATAGACACAGCCCACTGAGCTTCTCGCCGGATCTTCTCAGTGGGTCACGTTTCCGATCCGTTGGTAGATTCTGCGAAGCACTGCTCTTGCTAGGGCAACACTCCGGTTTGAGCCCGGTGAGCTCACCTACAAACGTTAGGCTGAAGCTAAAATAGCCTCTCAAGGCTATCAGCATAGGTAGGAGAAAAAAAATCTTATTGGAGACGAAGAGAACAAGAATCTAGAATTGAAGGAAAATAAAAGCTGAGAATAAAAAATTGCGCCGGTCATCCGGTTACATAATAATATCTCTTTTGTATCTTTCCGCGTTTTACACATGGATTTATCAAAGGATCGTTGGACATTACATTCTGACAAAGACAATTTTTTTTCAATAGGCAACAATTTTTTTTTTCTATTTCATTCGATTTATACTTTTGATGTTTTTGTTTCCCTTTCATTTTTGTTTTAGTATCCTGCTGAATAAATATCACTCTATTTCGTATAATGATATAAACGACCAAGGGCCACTACACAAAATATATCCCGACCAAAACAATTTTAGACTGTAATATCTCGTCAACCTTTTAAGCTGATTTATTTTATCACCTCATCAAATTGGTTTTACTTTTATATTTAATTAACCACAGAGATAGTTAAAAATAAACCTTTTTTATCGTCTTTGTAAAGAGATGAGGCATAGAGCTCTCCTGATGGTAAGTAGTCACCGTTGTTCATGGACATTAGCAAAGCCAGGGCCACATGTGGTATTGATGGTAGGACCTCTTCTGAGTCTGCGTGTGTAGGTACCACCCTGTCTATTTCTGCCGTGAAGCAGTAATGCGTTTCGGTTTGAAGGGTGGAGCAGCCATTGAAACTATACTGAGACCTTAGAACTCATATCTTAAGGTGGGTGGCGGCATTAACGTTGTAGATGTCTACGGGCCCCCCGTAACTACTTAAAAAAAAACAGTCGAGCCGCTGCCTTTTGCAAATCGAATTAATACTATCCGCAGCATCTCTACAACGCATGTTTTAATCCGTCAGCTGGTGTAAGTTAAAAATAAACGACTCCTTATTTTCTCACAGCAACGAACAGATGAAATTTGATTAAAATCGTGAACGTCTAACGTTGTTGGCGCATCGATGTGAAATGAGATTAAACGACCGTGGCGCCGGTGGCGAGACCGGAAACTAATCTATTTATAGGTAAAAGGAAATTGACACGACCCGATGTATGTAGGTAGGTAGCCCGCATTATTTTTGATATTTAAATTCTATACGAATAAACTAAGGCCTAGGACAGCTATATTTAGGTTTCATGAAACATATTGGAAACTGTGACATATTCGAAATGAAAACTTTAATGTTAGAAACTATGAAATAAATAAATAATAAATAAATATTTAATAACAATCACGCCACGTTAACTGGTCCCGTACTAAGTTCGTAAAGAACTTGTGTTACAGGTACCAGATAACGGAAATAAATATAAGATTTTTATTATACACGTACATATATTTAATATACATCCATGACCCTGGAAAAGACATTTATATTTATCATACAAATATCTTCCCTTGGCGGGATTCGAACCCGCGACCCCCTTGTGTAGTGACCGTGTCACTTACCACTACACCTGACGGCCGTTGCATAAATGCAAGCTTGAATTTTTTCTTTTTTTTACTGACCATTATTTATCACATTATTTCATTTTTATTCTATTATTAAATTGTAATCAAGTAATTTTATTCAATTTCACTTTTTGATGAATCACAAAATATAATTATTTAGACTAGAAAGAGGTCGACGGAGCACTTAGAACAAAAAGTTGTGTCCCTCAGGCTATTTGATTCTGCCGCGTAACCGATAAGCAGGATGACTTTTAATTAACAATAGAGCTGACAAAACAGATTTTATACTTTGCTTTGAGTGCTTTTCCTTACCCGAGTGATATACGACCCTATTATTATTGTACATGTTAAAAGCCTGCCTCTTCACCGTCGAGAAACAATCAGGCGTCCGGATTTGAAGAGTTGAGCATCTTAACATCTTACATCAATCAAAGCCTCAGCGCCATTCAAGTCACGATGTATGTGTCGGGGCCCCCTATTGATAAGATGGGCCGTTAACTCATTTGTTTATTTCGTCTGATTAAAAGAGGACACGTGCAAAGCAAGGATTGGTGATAGATGTCTTTGTCTAGCTTCTATCAATCGAAGTTGTCTAGGCTCCAAAATGAATATTTAGCGGCGAGTAACGAAGAAATTATACTACCACCACTACCCAAAGGTGGCTCAGACTACTTTTTGTCAGGTAGATCCAAATCGTCTACATGTTAAGAAACAAAAAAAAAAACAATCGAAAGCTTCACATTGAAAGTACTGCATGCGTCGTCTAACATTTAATACTATCCTTGAATAAATCTAATTTGTTATATTGAATGGAATAATTATATTTTTTGGATGATAAAGTGTTTCATATAACATCAAAGAACACATACTAGTCGTTTAATATTACATTTTCCTCAAGGAGCCGCTCAATTTTGTATCCTTGTATTTATTATTTCCATTATATTTAAATTGGTTGGTAGCTACGCGATTATTTTACGCTGGAACAATCAGAAATCGGGAGTGATCACGTGTACTACCTTTTTCCTTCCCTATAACCGATTGAGAGATGAGCTGACGGCTCAACTGGTGTTAGGTGGTTGCCGGACTCCACCGACGAAATAACCTTAAAACATGAGGTTGGCGTTTCTATTATATCGTGAAGCTGCAGGATTGATTGAGACTGCAAGCACGTGTTAAATGTAATAAAAAAAAACACGTAGAAGATTTGAAACAGCATGATGAAGAGGTCGCAAGCATGGCCACATTACTGGTTACTAGGCGTCATTAGGACACACGGAAGTTGCAAAGAATCGCGTTCAGCATTAAGAACTCATTAATAAATGGAACTGACTGAGCAAGTTACAATGGTGCCTTTGTTTTGAAACTAAACATTTTTTACATGGTTGGCAGAATTTTCTGTACAATATTGGCTTCGTTTAAATAATTTACGTGTCCCTAATTGGATTTTTGTAGAGGTAGTATGTCTATACTTAATAAATATATTCAATATTATATTTAAACGGTAGATACATATATATTTTTATATGTATATATTTTTTTTCTTTTTTTTCTTTAGTAATCTGCGTAATGGTTTGGTCCATCTTGATAGACCACTCTAGGTATTGTTAATAGTATACCGCAACATACCTGTTGTACCTTTTTCAGTATTTCTATAGAAGATAAAACAATTGTTTAGAAGAGATTGCTTTTATCAATAAAGCCGCCTTGTACAAATATACCTGTTGACTGTTTTTGAATGTTAATTGTGGTTTGGTGTACAATAAAGTGTATTCTCTCTCCCTCTCTCTCTAAACGCATAAAACTCGTGAAATAATAGTTCATTTCTTTTTAATTATACATGATACGCATTTGCAAGCTATCTGTTTTGACGCGCATGTCAAAACTGCGCATGTCAGACAATCGCTGGTTGGTCCTCTCGGCGTCCCGGGGTGCATACTCGCTGGCGGTGCATGGACAACAGGCCCCGCATCTGCAGAACGCACAACACATTTTGACTGTGCGTAATGCGCCTGTAAATGCGAGAAAGATTCTATATGTAGGTCATATATTTGGCCACTATATTTTAGTCACACAGTTCTTTTTTTTTATTGCCCTTGTATGCAGACGAGCACACGGCCCACCTGATGGTGAGTGATTACTGTCGCCCATGGTCATCAGCAATGGCAGGGGCAGAGCCAAGCCGCTGCCTACCGCTTAATACTCTCCACAAGCCTCGTTTGAAGAAGGACATGTCATAGCGCTCGGGAAACACCGTGGAGGGGAGCTTATTCCATAGCCGGATGGTATGTTCCTAAATTTTCACACCCACCTATTTTCCTAGCCATCTCCAAGTGCTGTAGATAGGTTGTATCGGCTGTACTGTCTATAGGAGCCTCACATATCCTCACTATCTCTGGTCTCCTGGTGACAGCCTGCTTCATAGCAACACGAGTCCGCCCGGATAGAGGACAAGGACTGTCCGGTGATAATTTCTGAAGTTGAATAGTTTCTATGGCTTTTAGTTTTCTTAATAACTAGTGGAAACCGCAATACCTTTATAGCTGCAGCTATATCTATCCTATATATTTGACTTTCTGTCTTTGAAGTGTCTTACTTCAAAGAATACTTATACTGCTGAAGAAAACTCCAGGAAGGGAATTTGATAAAAATTTTGAAGGCCTAAAGGATACAATGGTCGGTGCATTCGTATCGAGCGATACGACTGGGTCGGTGTTCGAATCCCGCTGGCAGGTACCAATTTTTCTAATAAAATACGTTCATAACAAATGTTCACGAATGTCTTCCACAACGGAGGAATAATAAAAAGTAAACCCGCAAAAAATATAATTTGCGTAATCAGTAGTATTGGGGCGTTTTGTGAACCCACACGAATAGTTACCACCACAATGCATATTTTTACGGTGAAGAAGTTAATGCGTTTCAGTTTGAAAGGTAAGGCAATCGTTATACTCTAAAATCGAGACATAGAACTGATATCTCAAGGTGGGTGGCGGTATTTATTTTGTAGATGTCTATGGGCTCCAGTAACCACTTAACACCAGGTGGACCGTAAGCGTAACTAAGCAATAAAAAGAAAAAACTTCCATAGAGTACCAGCATATATTTTACCTAGTCTCAATTTAATCATATTATTGTTGCCCAACACACATTTCGCAAACAAACAAACAAATATTTATAATTACTGGTGGTAGGACCTTTGTAAGTCCGCACGGGTGGGTACCACCACCCTGCCTATTTCTGCCGTGAAGCAGAAATGCGTTTCGGTTTGAAGGGCAGGGCAGCCGTTGTAACTATACTTGAGACCTTAGAACTTATATCTTAAGGTGGGTGGCGTATTTACGTTGTGGATGTCTATGGGCTCTAGTAACCACTTAACACCAGGTAGGCTGTGAGCTCGTCCACCCGTCTAAGCAATAAAAAAAAAAAAAAATGTGAATGGGTAGATAATAACCGGCCATCTCCGTAAACAATCAACCTTCGGCTTGCTTTCAAGTAACAATTCGGCTGAAGTTTGCTGAACCTGACCTTTCCACTCTCGTCTTCGACTCTTGCAAATGGGACGGCATCTGTTGGTGTTGTTGGTAATACTGATATTAGTTCATTAACACTCAAGACTTTACACAATTTCGCTAACTCAGACGAACACTAAGAGATTTACCGCTCGCAATGAAATGATTATGAGCCAGTTCTTGTGAGATGCGCAGATCTATCTATTATCAGGTTAATTGTAGGTAATAATTCTAATAAATCACCAAAGTAAATACCTATGTTACTGTTCTAATTTTAGTAGGTAATTTTAATGTGATTAAATTTTACGTTGGCATAATCTCTTTAGATTTTTAGGTCTACTTTCATTAAGCTTTTGTCAGGCATTAGAGATACATTGATCCAGAATTGAAGGAATGTATTGAACGTACTATATTAGATGTCCTACATCTGTATATTTGTTAACTCACAAAATAAATTAAGTATTACAGATATTTACTTGCACAGATCTTGCGTATTATTCACATTTCTTTCAATTTTTGGAAGCTCTATCATTGTTGTATGTTTAATTTTTCGCCAACTACAATTCTTGATTACATTAGTATTGTGATGTTGTAATTTGACATTTTTTTTGTTATTATTATTATTGTTTAATAACATTTCATTTCACGAAGCGATATACCGTCACTCAAATGTAACTTTAAAAGTTTGATATCATTAAATACATGTAATTTAAAAAAAACGAAATTTTATAAAATAATCCATTTGCTAAGAATGATAATTTCAATTGATAATTTAAAAATATCCAATGTTAAATATTTTTCAGTTGATATTTATGAAAACACACATTTCTCAAAAAAAGAACTGTCATAATATAAGTCACTGTCAATATCCTTATTATTTTCATTCTCGTTTATCCACACTTCATTTCAATATTGTATTTTATACGGCTCATTAACATCAGCCTACTGAGCCACAGTCTGTTTAAGAATGCTACATGATCACTGTAAGCTGTTACAAGTTCCACCGAATTACGTCTCGCTTCGTTAGACTGTGGCGAAAGGTTCAAACCGTTTCAGATTACCTTACATTTCCATTAGCTTTTCTTTGCTGCCAGGGTGTTGGAATGCCACTCTCCGAAGCTACTTCCTCTGATATTAAGGATGGAGCAATAAAACAGGTAATATTTCTGTGTAGATCAGTAAAACTTCTCCGTCCATCGCATCGGTTTTTTCAGCAATAATTTAGTGTCTGAGTCATCGTGGCCTTAAGGATAAGAGGGCCGGTGCATCATTGCGCTGGCAAGTACCAATTTTTCTAATGAAATATGCACTTAACAAATGTTCACGATTTACTTTCACACGGTGAAGGAATAACATCGTGTAATAAAAAATCAAACCCGCAAAATTATAATTTGCGTAAGTACTTGTGGTAGGGCCTCTTGTGAGTCCGGGCGGGTAGGTACCACCACCCTGCCTATTTCTGCCGTGAAGCAATAACACATTTCGGTTTGAAGGGTGGGGCAGCCGTTCTAACTATACTTAGACCTTAGAACTTATATCTCTAGGTAGGTGGTGGCATTTACGTTGTAGATGTCTGTGGGCTCCGGTAACCACTTAACACCAAGTGGGCCGTGAGCTCGCCATATCACCACCAAAAGCGACTACAAGCGTACCACCTGAAACCGCGAGGCACGTTCGCATTACGTTCTAAAGGTTATTTCATATCAAAAAACTATCCAATTAACTTATCTCCACAAAATTTGCGCTATAACATGACCTTCGTTAAGCCAAGTTTCAAAGTTATCCGTGAACTCCCACTCATAAATAAACTTGTTGACTAGCAACAATGATAATTCATAATTCCACATGATAATTCCACAGCTTAAATACGATGTTGCCAGTATGGAAAATCACAGAACGAAACAACATGGTCATCCAGCACTAATCGATCCTGGACGATCTTCCGGTGAGCCTCTCAGTGAAGGTCACTACACTATCGACTTTGCCCCAGCACCTGGAGATAATGAGGAGACAGCCATGAGGTGCCAAGACTTTTGGGAGATGATCACAAACGAAAAACAACTAGAAGGATTCATGGCAAACCCGGTATAATATTAACATACTAGACGTTAACCAACTTTATTTCGATACATCCCTGAAAACTGCACCCAAATAGTTCTGCTATTGTGAAGATTGGGCAAAGGACAAGAAAAGCTTGATTACCATTATTTGTTTATTTCACTATAGTAAAACATTTATCTCTATGTTTTATTGTCGCAGGCAGAGATTTTTTGCTAAATCTGCTGATTAGCTTAACTATTTCCTTCAAACCTCGTTTCTAAGGGACATGTAATTTAGCAACATTTGTGGCGTGGCGAAATATTACATTTAATCAAAATACTAAGGGAATTAACGTATGTACCTAGTCAGGTCATAAATTCTGTCACATGTTTAATGTAAAATGCTTGGAACAAGTTTATTCATTATGTAACCATTCATATACCAAAATGAACTTAACAAAACATAGATTCTTATGACACTAAAGTTTATTCAAAATGACTTCCGTGATTTTGAATACAGGCCTTCAATCTGCGCGGCCAGTCGTCTATCGCAGCACGAACGAGGTCCATGTCAATATCGGCGGCTGCCTTAATCAAGGATGTCTTGAGTGACTCCAAATTGGGATGAGGCTTTGAGCACGCCTTTTCCTCCAAGTGTTGCCATATCTTGTAATCTAACGGATTCAAATCTGGACTGGAGGAGGGCCAGTCTTCGTGCCGGATGAAGTCGATTTCACGCGCCGCCAGCCAGTCTTGTGTGCTCTTCGCTCTATGAGC